AAACACAGTTTATCTTGAATTTCGACTACTCGGGCCTTCGTGCTCTTGTACAATCTACTCGCGGCTCTTACAAAATAAATTGTTAATGAGAACTGGACCAACGATGTTGCATTAAAAGTATAAAATTTTAACAAAACTTGTGATTTTCATGTGTAGGTTAGTAGGGCCTTGTGATTTTCTTGTGTGGTAGCGATCGATAAGACGGAGTTTCATCATTTCGATTAAATGAAATGCGATGGAGCGCACCTTTCAATCAATAACTATCCAAGTTTACATAATATTTCTAGCACAGACGGTTATGCTGCATAACGTAAAAATATTATTATTTCCATCTATATTATTATGCGTGTATACTTAGGCTGTGCTAAATAACGCAAAAAAAAAAAATTTTTTTTTAAACATATATCTGTAACATAAATGGCTTTGCGATCGATATTTAATTATTCAAAACAAATCAGCGAGATTGCATTGATTGCTTTTAAATAACAAGGCGATCTGTGTGGCGAAAGGCTGTAGGGATCGATAAGAGCTTTCTAAATCTCGGGTAATGGATTTTATAGCACAAATCTAATTCGTTCGATGATAAGTATATTACGAGTGTGTGAGACGAAAGCTCGTGTATATGCAAAATAAATGCGGACACCTTGGAGATGCTAGTGAGGCAGGACGACGTATCGCGTAAAAATCACGAATCGCTGGTGAATTGTCGATAGTAGGGAGTTTACGTCGTAAGGGGACGGCATTGTCAGGGGCGGAAACCCTGGCTAAAAAGAAGCCGACGGGACTGGATTCCAAATCCTTATAAAAGCAGGCGGTTGCCGTGGTTACGGGGCCGGAACTACACGGGTTTTTCAATGTGCGCCATCCGATCAATTGCCATTTGTCTTGAATCGGTAACTTGGCCGCTGCTCGTGAAAATGCGCCTATCGACCGACATTGGCCGATCTGATCCTGTCCGACATCGTTCCCAAATTTTCGTCGCGCGTATTTACGAATCGCCGCGTCAATAAGTATAGAGAAGAAGAAAATGGAAGTAAATCTCGAGCAATTCGTAGAAAGTCACGTAGAATGTAAGAAACGGTGGCTTGGCAGTGATATTCGGCAACACTTCGGTCACGCTCGTATTTAAAAGGAAGGGGAAAAATGGGCGAAATGGAAGCGCGAAGGATAGTAGGAGAGAACGGTAAGGAAAAATCTTCCATCAATGTCGCGTGGTCGTTCTTCTTAATTGGCGTCCTCCCTACGCCACTCTCCGACTCCCCTTACCACCGCGACGGGCATTCGCCATATGGAAAAAGAAAAGGAAAAGGGCTGATTGACGCTTACTCGCGTCGGGAAAGCTCCACTACTCGTCTGGGACATCTAGGTCAGAGCGGCAAGGTCGTTGTGGTATTGGCGATGGTGGAATTGTGGTGGGGTGTGGTAAGGTGTGGTGGGGGGTGATGGGAGGTGATGGGAGGTGGGGAGGGGGGAAGGTTCTAGTGGTAATGTTGTCAAGTATCGTGCGTTGCATACGCGATATAATTAACGAGCGATATACATCTTAAATTTCTCGATTTATTGGATTTATTAATATTCTTGCAATAGCCTTAGAGGAACGTTCTCTATTGAACCTTTGAACTCCGATTGAAAATGTCGACGATAAAAGCCGCGGAGATGTATTCGCGAGTTACCAAAGCCGATTAGTCGCAATAGTTGAAATAATATTTTACAAGCACGGCGATGGAGTTAATGCAAGTAATTGATGCGCTGTACAAAAAATCCGTGTAAAACAATGGTGAACTGTTGCCAAGTAAACCTCTTAAGGCTTGATTTGTTTTTTTTTTTTTGTTTTTGTTTTTTTGTTTTTGTGTTTTTTCAAATACGAGACATTACAAGAATTAAATTACGACAATAAAATTAAGTGTTGGGAATGCATGATGGGGAAATAAAAAGCAAAAGAAATCATTGAAAATCTTGAAATAAATAGAAATTTTGTTTTGATCGGCTAATAAGTTAGTTGAAGCAAACGACGTGTTAAAATGTCCGAGGTGTTTCTCGTTTCTTAATAAAATCGAATTTTCCAACACCCACACACACGCACACACGCACACACGTACACAAGCACACAGAGAGAGAGAGAGAGAGAGAGAGAGAGAGAGAGACGCGCACGCACCCACCCACGCACGCACGCACGCGCACAGAGAGACAAATATATAAATATCGCTGTGGCTCCAATAAAAATAGGATATTTCAATGCCACAAGTGGTTACATAAAAATCTACATTATCCGATGATTTGCAATAAACTTTTCAAATGTTTTATAATGAAATATTATCTTGGTGGACATAATACTAATTATACTGCGTAAAATAATGATATTTTTAATATAAAGTGCTTTTTGATCGCATGATAACAAAGGCAAGGAAAGTGGTCAAGAGACGTCATAATTGAAACAAGCGCATTGAAATGTAATTAGAGTCTGCCAGAGACAAAAACCTCTCATTACAATCTTTGTCTGAAAGTTTAAAGGGAGCTTGAATATTTCGATGTAAATACAGCTCACGAGCCCAGGGATGCGCAATCGGACAAACAAAAGATACTTTCAAACGTACACAAAAGAAAGTTTCAAAAAAGAGAAAAAGCACGCGAAATGCATACTCATGGGCAAGTGCAATTTTTCAGCAAAGATTACTAAAACAATAGGTAACCTCGGCTATGGCTACGTGATGCATTTAAATTTTTCGACAGCCTATTTCTCCTGGCGAGCGTTTTTATTTCAATCTCACTTTCGCGTGCTTATAACGTTTTCACATCGTCTTTGTCCTTTCGTTGCTTTATCTCTCTCGTATGCAAGTGCAAGCGGCGAAAACGGTTATTTTTCAGTACGAAAAGCAGGAACGAGCTGCTGGCAAAATTTCTCGCGCCATTCGCCTTTAATACTAATATTCGTGTTATACTCATTTCAGAGTTTGTTTGTTTGTTTTCTGTTCTTTTTTCGTTAAACATAAATTAAAGCACTCGTTTACTTTTCTTCGATTAAAATTATCTGGCGGTGGCCGTTTTAGATAAACTATTGCATATTTGAATATAAATCATTAGGAAACATGTGGACTGGAATGCTTACGCGCGATATTTCGAAAAGCTACTCGCGCTTGGGTGTGGTTATAAAATTCCAAAAGAAAAACAATAATAATAAATATTAATGTATTTAATAATTAATAGTTTGAAAACGAATTTTTCGAATGTCACAATAGAATTAATATCGAATACTTACGTAATTCGTACGTTGCGCTTCGCAATCCTTTTATTTATAAAATTAATATATCAAAGACACACGTTTATCAAAAACTTTTAATTTTATTATTATTGTTATGTAACACGCGGCGGACAATTTCCTTATTTCTTAATGCATTAATTCATTTTCTTAGTGAGCGAAAAATATCGTCGTCTCCCCCTATATTACGTAATTTTAATGTAAAACCAAATTTTACTTAACCCTCTCTCTCTCTCTCTCTCTCTCTCTCTCTCTCTACCTATCTATCTCTTGCACACGCGCTAGCTCCTTTTCTTTTCTTTCTTTCTGTCTCTAATGGAGAAGTAAAAATTCTATAATATTCATTGAGTGTCTAATACATGGAGCTTGTAAAAGAGAAAACGTAAATAAAAAAACTCATAGTCCGATGTATTACTTTAGCCATGAAGTAAAAGTCTGAGTAATAAAGCGTGATATTGCTAAATCAAGATAAAAGCAATGATTATTATTACTTAATCATAAATCATAGTCGATATCAAACTACTCAGCTATTAAGCATCTGATTATTAAGTATTGTACGATCATCGTTCGATAATAATTATTGTCTCGAAAAAGAGATAATGAAATGTTTATATATCCGTCTTTAAAATTAATTTTACTATTTTGCAGAATTCATAGTGTCAATTCAATTTGTTCTTATACTTAACTTTCACTCGCATGTCGCTAGTTTTGGACTTTCGATCTCCATCGCGGCGCATATATCTCCCCCCCCCCTCCGGCACGTGTAATATTTAAGAGCGCAAAATCCACAATGAATCGATACTTTTGCAAGGACTATCATTTTATTTTTCAATTCGGTTTCAATGATTTTCTTCATTTCTTTCCTCTTCTACTTCTTCTACTTCCTCTACGTCTGCTTCTTCTTCTTCTTCTTTTTCTTCTTCTTTTTCTTCTTCTTCTTCTACTTCTTCTACTTCTTCTTCTCCCTCTACATCGTCGTCTTCATCATCATCTTCTTCATCATCTTCTTCATCGTCTTCTTCATCATCTTCTTCATATTCTTCATCTTCTTCTTCTTCTTCTTCTTCTTCTTACTCTTCTTTTTCTTTTTAATCAATCTTACACAGCAAATTTCGAGGTAGAAAAATCCACGCAAATCTTTGCCTCTAATGTCGATCGTATGTGTTTTCGTCGATCGAGAAGACAAACTTTTTTTTATCCTGAAAAATTATCACCTGCATGGCTGAATGTAAAAACGTTGCTACATTAGTGAAGCATTGCTAACTGAACGTACGGCTAAAGCATAAATTATTATCTATCAATATTAATGCTCGATCAAAGTAGAGTAGCGTATCTATTAACACTCTAGCAGTAATAACAATAAACTAAAAAACGTAATTATACTACATAAATAAATTACATACAATTGTCGTATGCTTAAGGAGGCTTACAATTTTAGCCGTGCAACTTGCGCACTCATAACGCTTTTATACGTCCCTCCCCCATCGCGGCTAAATAACAGAAAATTTCGCAGCGAATTTTTATAGTACAAGGCAAGATGTAAAGATGAAGTCCCGGCGTGGAAAGAGACGACGCTCGTGTGTCCTTTCCGATAAGCGAAGCAAATTGCACGGCGGGCATTTCGCGCAATTATCGCGCCAATCGCAGCATCTATCGAGACGCGAAAAAGGGAGAATAAGAGGCAACGGCGCACTAAACGAAAGGAGAAATAAGAGTGCAATAAATAATGGCACGAGAGACTCACCTGGATAGGGTGCCCTTGAGGAGCGGATTCCTGTCGTCGTAATAACCAGCGGACGACGGCATGTTGTCGATCGTTGGCTTTAATCTCTCTGTCTCGGTTATTCCCTCTCACCCTCTCGCTCCTTGTCTCGCACACGGGCAGGCGCGCACATATACGTCTGACAGTGGCGTGGAGCTACCGGCGGACGAGCGATACGGGGCTCGAGGGCCTTGCGCTACGCTCCTGCATCGTGGCTGAGGCGGCGCCTGCACTCGTCCTCCCATTCACTTTGGTCGATGCAGTGCGGGGTGGGAGGTCCCGCTTTCGTCGCCGCTCCACTCTGTCGCGGCATCAAAGAACTTCGTTATCACTTTGCTATGCATCGTGCACAAACAGAGTACGTTTGTGCTCCCTCAACCCTCTCCCCCAATCCCTAAATTCCCCCGCCCTCACACAAGCTCTCATACACGCGAGCGCGCGCGCATTCCCTCTTTTTGTTCACGTGTTTGTCTCTCCGTCTGTCTTTCTGTCTGTCTGTCTGTCTGTCTGTCTGTCTGTCTGTCCGTCTGTATGTGATTATACGTATGACCATTTATCTACTGGCTTTATCCGGTATACAGCACGAACATTTTCGGGGATAACTATGCGCAATTTCTTCTGGTTTTACGCGTGGGCCATGTACTGACCGTTGCACAATCACCTTTACCAAGCGAATTCGAGCCTTGTTAAACGAAATTATTCAACGGATGATGCCGCTGTATCGCTAGGCCTGCATCTTATTCCAGTGGATTTTTGCTTCCTCCTTCACGTCGTCATTCGACACGTCGTGACTCCGGCACATTTGGCCGAACTTTCCCTGCCAGATGTGAATAATAATGGACTATGACGCTAACCGGGAAAAAACGTGGTCACGATTAATTAATTATCCTGCAATTACGATAGCGCAAGGTTACGGCATTCTCAATACGCGTATTACACGTTGCGCTAACACTGTATATATATATATATATAGAAAAATGCTCGATTCTTTATGTTGGAACATTGTTTAAATTTTTCTGTCATAATGTACAATATCGATATGACGATGATCAATTTGTAAAGCATAAGCTGTGCTTTCTCTGTTTATCAGTTGGCTTGACACGTTCCTATCGATTTTACGACAAATACGCGAAATAAAATATATCCACCATTTCTCGAAACGACCCTCCATTCTTCGCACATTTGTACTCGACGAATTTTTTAATGCTTGCAAATTTTCGAAAATTATCAGCACAGAGGGCGACTAATAATCTTTTTTCCTAGTGATTTATTTATAAGGCAGCCGGAATTGCCTATATCCTGCTAAAACAAAAATCCTCCTTAACGTGTAACGAGTCTCGTTAAGGGACCCTTATTTCACGTAAAAAATAAGTTGATATCATTAATCTCACAATTGTACCTCAAACTTTATCCTAAGTCAATATCCTATTTTTTTTTATTTTTTTTTTTTCAATATTTTTTTTAATAATACTCACAAACAAACTCTTATGAATTATTATCATTATCACTTTCCATAATATTCGATGATATATATTGTTGCTTTAAATTTTCACTCTTACACAGAAATTAGTATCACATATTTTTATATTAATAATATTCAATAAGCTAGACTGACAATATAAAGACAATAAGCATTATATCGAGTTGTATTACGAAAAAATAAACAAAGATATAATTGCTTGGATCAAAATACCTGCAAGATGAAACATTTTAGTTATCATATGGAAACTCTATAACTTATATCTAAAAAAAAATTATTTACTTGTGAACCACGAGTGCTTATATTTCATTTTCCTTCGTATTATACTCCACGTTCTCCTTAATACTTATACTTGTTTTTTTTTCTTTTTAAAGCTTTGTTTAGCTTAATTTTTTTATCCATTCAACACCTTTCGCATAGCCGCCTCTTTATAAATCTATGTCAGTTGGCAAGTTTCATTACCTTCTTAAACCCACATATTTCGATAATATTATATAACAATTTTCTTTTTCAAGATACCTAGAGGCAATATAAACTCCATTTTAATTCAAAAATATCTTTTTATATTTCTCATTTTACTTATTTAATGAGTCTAACTTGCCTATTTGAGCTTATTTTTCACGAATAATAATAATATTATACGATGTAATATATATATATATATATATTATACAATTAAGAAGCAATTGATCTTCGTTAAGTAAAAATTGCCTTATTAAATATCATCATGCCCTATAATTATTTATAACGAGACAAACAATAACCAATTTAATTAGCTCCCAGCTGTATTAATATTAATAATTTTCCCAAAGTGCTACATAATTGTTAGCGCTACATTTCATTTAAGTTATAAAGCGGTATTTCTGCATATCTACATAAAGCTTTATTCTCATTATCGATGCGATAATAAATTAACATTTTTAATGCTATTCCTTTTTAGCAAAAGCAAACTTGTAGTGTCGGAAGAAAAACAAGATGTATATTCATTGCGCGAATGATAAATTTTGTATATAATCAACCGATCAAATAAATTAGATCTCTGTCCAACTCGCTTAACATATGCGTGAGAATTTAGATCTTTTGACGGCTGAAAACTTGAATAACTCTTATAACTTCATAATCGATTTCTTCCTTTGCTTTTTCAAGACGCGTGATGCAATGAAAATGTTGTTAAACTTTTTTGAAGCACGAATAAACAGTGAACGACGAAACGACCGACTTTTTCAACACAAACTTTGCTATAAGAACAGAATTTTTCTTAAACGCTAGAAGAATTGAAAATTGAGAGAGAAATCAAAGGACTAATATTACGAACCGCATAAAATTATATTATATCAAGCAATAGATGACAATTACTGTACGACAATTATGATAAATACGAATTATGCAACGTTATTTCTACCCAAGTATTTCATAATTTAATCAGATACAATTAACGGAAATTATGATTATTTTTATAAGTATTTGAATATTCAAATATATTAATGTATTAGACCATTATGTTCGAATGTATATTTTTTATCTTTCCCAAAACGGTTTTATGAATATCACTTTTATCCGTACATAAATACACATACATTCACATTATATTATGTTAGGGAAAGCAACAGGAGATGGATTGTAATAATTTGTTTTCTAATATATTAAAATGATAGGTTAACCATAAATAACAACCAATTAAAAATTATAAAAATTCAGTAATCATCTGTAATTGGAGTCAGTGTAACAAATCTCTAATGCTATCGGAAATTCTTCAAACATTCATTTTGTTATTGAATTTAAACCATATGCTAAATAAACTATATTAATTATAATGATTTATTTTTAAAAATTCAGTCTATTAAAATACATGTAAAATATAAAACTACAAACAACGTAAAAAATTGTATTACAAAATCTAAACGTGCAATTATGTAACATTTGTGTATATGAATAAATCAACCATTGAAATGACAATTATACAAGATTTTTAACCAATATAAAAATATAAATTTTCAAACAGATTTTTTTTATAGGATAACATATATATTAATATATATATATATATATATATATATTTTTTTAATAAATTGATACGATATCCTTCTTTTTTTTCGATTTTTATAATGAAAACAAAAAAAAAAAAAAAAAAAAAAAAAAAAAAAACGAAGGGAAAAATATGAACTGAAATTTATTCAATATAGCATTACTGAAAATCCGAGTAATATATACATTGCTCATAAAAGATAATGAAAAAGAAATCTAAGATAAAACTTATTTTAATTTTGACACGCTTCGATATTTATTTTTCTGATAAATAAATGAAGTCAAGGCACCTATAAATGAAAAAATAATTATGCTTTCAGGCATAAAGTTTTTCGAAATCATCTGAAAGCCGTTAAAAAATCTTTCCTTCTCCATTTATAACAAATTTAATTTCAGAGAAACGTTATTAACGAAACACATTGACAATTAAAAAATCAATTTTTCCTAAAGTTTTACTAAAGATAGCCTATCGAAATTTTACGAACAATACGAAAAAAAATTAAACTAAACGAATATTTTAACAATACGAAATATACAATCTAATATACGGTATTCAATTATAATTATAAACTTAATTATATGTAATGTGAATATTTAGGATTTCGTTTATAAGACTCTCTACTTCTTTTATCGAGAGACTAATAAAATTTTGTATTTCACCGGAAAAAAATTTTCTGTTTCACTATTATTGATCTTATTATTAAAAAAAAAAAAAAATTTCGTCCTTTAAGCAGAAAGGATATTTTACGTATAATTTTATATTTATATCGTTAAGTGCAAGCAGACTCGAACGTGAGTTTATTTGTTTAATCTATTAATTATCGTAAACATCAATTCAACATTATCAACGTAATTCTTATTTAAATGGATTTAACCGAACGAAGCTCGACTTCACGTGGAAACAACTAAAATTGGATTAATCATTTTCATTTATACCGCGCATTACCAAATGTTCCGCCAAGTACAAAAGAAAGCATTATTATTCAGAGAAGTCTTACAAAATAAAGAGGAAAATATTCACACGAAAGCATTTTTTAGTCAAGGTCTCGTTTTATTGTCAAAGCAATATTTACACTTTCTTATTATTTGTCGAATACTTATTCATTTTTCTTCTCATTTTACTCGTTGGCTTTTGATTAAGAATAAAATTTTTTCGTACTATTCCGTTTACTGCAAATTAATGTTTCGTTAAAGCATTATTAATGACGAGTATTTTGTAAAATATCGAGACTCATCATAATCTCCTCGAAACTATCAATATCCTCGAAATTAATAGAAAAATAATCGAGTCCACGATTCCAGCAAAGATGCCAAAGGACTCTTCGTAGTTGTACACTATCATAAAATCAGCAATCCTCCAGGCATATAAAATGCGCTTTATCGGGCATTATTTATAACCAAGGTCGGTTTAAGATATTTATGTAAAATAATCAGCGCTACGTAGAAAAATAAAATAATATTGCAAGTACAAGATGAATAAAGGAGGAAAGCGCAGTACGTGGAATACGAGCATTGGCGGTGGCGGTAGAGGGGGTAGGAGGAGGAGGAGGAGGAGGAATATGTGCGAGACCCCAGTTCCTGCTTCTTGTACCGAAAAGAGAAATTGACAAAACGACCGATCGCTATCAGTCGAGTTCGATGCGCGCAACGAGAGCGCAAGAAAAATAAGGAATCGTCCGACCGACGAACAAAAGATGCGTTCCCGAGGTTCTTGAGCTCCGGAGACTTCTCATAACGAGCAAAATGAATAATGAAGAGAGCCAGAGATCAGGAGGAAGAGCCGAATTGTGATAGAGAGAGAGAGAGAGAGAGAGAGAGAGAGAGTAGGAGAGATCGACGGTTGTGAAAAGCCACGATCGCGGTGCGGGACAGTAGACGCATTACTGCATACGACGGCGAATTGAGTCAAGGACGTACGTTAAGCGGGTTCTCGATCGCGCACCGATAAGCCCCGGTATACCGCCGACTCGATCTGCTTATTTAT